AGAGAGAGAGAGAGAGAGAGAGAGAGAGAGAGAGAGAGAGAGAGAGAGAGATGCCGGAGGGCTCTACCCTACAGATAAACAAAACGGAACCCCATCTGAATAAGATGTGAAGTGTCCAAAGTACATAATCTGTGAATAACTGATGCACAGGTCAGGGAATAGGTGAAAAACTGCTTCCAAAGAAGGAGGCAGCAGAAGGGGAAGGGAGGGGTGGGCATGGCTCTGCCAAATGGACAAGATCATCTGCAGATCCAGCAATCTCGTCGCTTGTATCCAAAGCCCATAACAGCACAAATAGGGTTGGGAATCATGACTTAGGCAGTGGCAAGTTGCATGTCAGCTGGAACATGCATAACTAAGAAATGCTAGGCATTGCATGACAAATAAGTACGCCCCCCCCCCCAAATGGCCCCAACCAGTGCAAGGCATTGGCTTGGCTGAAACTCTAGTGAGTGGATTAACATTGGTGCTCTGTCCAGTACTGCAATTCCATTCAAATTCAGCACAAATGGTGGTTTTTTGCAAGGCAGCTCAACCTGTGCAGGAAATCCGCGCGAAAGAGAAGCTGAGGAAAGACTGTGGAATAAGGTCAACAAAGAGGAGACAGTGCAAGGGAGCAAAGAACCAACAGCAGTTCCCAGACTTAGTAGATAGACAGATCATCAACTTCCTGCAATAAGGAGAACGCCTTTGTCCCTCTCAATGACTGCAAAAGGGGAAATGAGGCAACAAGAAAGAGGAAAAGAGTACAGCAACTAGACACACTATAAAGAAGGGCGAAGAGCAAGAAAGCAGGAAGAAAAGAAAGGGACGAAAAAACATACCAAAAGTAGACATTCCAAATAAAGCCCCTGTAGTACATCCTGACGGTGTGCCTGCAATACAAAGATGAAGCAATAAATGTGATATACACAAGGCAAAAAGCTCAAAGAGTCAAACACTGATTGCTGCTAATCAAAAGGTTATAGCAACAATCCAAGAAGTTACTCTCTCTCTCTCTCTCTCTCTCTCTCTCTCTCTCTCTCTCTCTCTCTCTCTCTCTCTC